CATCAAAACAACCATCAACATCAACGAGGACCCTCATCAGTATGCATACCGTGAGAACCGATCAACAGAGGATGCAATCTCCTCTGTGGTCCACACTGCGCTCAACCACCTGGAGCAGAAAAACTCTTACGTCCGTATGCTCTTTGTGGACTTCACATCCGCCTTCAACTCCATGATCCCCCAAACCCTGATGGACAAACTATCCACACTAGGACTAAGCCCCTCCATTTGCAACTGGGTCCTAGACTTCTTAACAAACAGACCACAGTCAGTGAGGATCCACAACTTCTCCTCCTCCACCATAACCCTCAGCACTGGCTCTCCTCAGGGATGTGTGTTGAGCCCCCTCCTGTTTACTCTGTTCACGTATGATTGTGCAGCTACCCATCCAGGCTGTCACATTGTAAAGTTTGCTGATGATACAGCGGTGGTGGGATGCATCACAAACAATGATGAGTCCAGCTACAGGCAAGAGGTGGAACACCTGGAGAGCTGGTGCAGAGAGAATAACCTTCACATCAATGTGAAGAAGACAAAGGAGATGATTGTGGACTTCAGAAGGAACAAACACACCTACACCCCCCTGAACATAAGAGGATCTGCGGTGGAAGTGGTCTCCAGCTACAAGTACTTGGGTGTGCACCTGAACAACAACCTCAGCTGGAGCAGCAACACCACCAGCCTGATGAAGAAAGATCATCAGAGACTCTACTTCCTCAGGCGGCTGAGGCGAGCTGGTCTGGAAGCTCAGTCCTCACCTCCTTCTACAGGTGTGCAGTGGAGAGCATCCTGTGCTCCAGCATCAATGTGTGGCATGGAGGCTGCACAGCTGCAGAAAGAAAAGCTTTGCAGAGAGTGGTGAAGGCTGCACAGAAGATGTTGGAGTCAGTCTTCCCACCATCACAGACATCTACACCTCCAGATGCAGGAAGAGGGCCACTTGCATCATGAAGGACCCCACTCACCCAGCACACACACTTTTTGCCCCACTCCCCTCAGGAAGGAGGTTAAGGAGCATTAAGTGTAGAACCACTAGACTGAGGAACAGCTTCTACCCTGAGGCTGTTAGACTCATGAATCTCTAACTAGAATAATCACTGTGAAAAACCATATCATGTTGCTGCTGATCTGTTTCATGTTGCTGCTGATCTGTTTCAATGTTGATGTGTTCATGCGTGCACATCTGCTCACAGACTCATGTTCATGTTTGTGCTGATGTTCAATGTTTTATGTTATGAGTGCTTAGTGTATATTTAGTTGATGTTTTTCTTAGTTCATATCTTAGATGTTATTACTGTTTTTCTTATATATTTTATTGTTGGATGTAACTGGGACCCCGTGTACATAATTTCGCTCCACCACATGTACCACATGAGGTGCGAATGACAATAAAGAAACTCTGATCTTCTACATCCTCAACAGACAGTACTGTCAGACACACGATCTTCCACTGCCCCCGGGAATCCTTCGTGTGTCCAGCTGCAAGTGTTCCACCAGGGCAAGAGGGCTCTCCTTCACCCCGTCTTCTCGTTAAGAAAATTTGATCAATTGTGTTGAGACCAGCTGACCAGATCCATAATTTACAGTTCAGAAGAAATGTAAAGAGATGCTCCAATAGGGTTCACAGGACAAAGAGCAGAGCAGGGACGGAGCAGGAGGGAGGGAAAACGTCCGCCTTTGTCGAGAGCAAGCAGGAAACGTTCATGTTCAAATGTTCACGTTTTGCTTGATGTCAGTCAGAAAACCACTGCCAATGCTCATTGAAGCACTTTCTACGATACACGGTGGAAACGTGTGCTTTATTTATTCCCTTGCAGAAATGAGAGAAAGACATTATTTTAATAAGACATTGCATTGTTTCTGACAGGTGAAAGTTTATTGTTGGGGTGAGTGGCTCAGCTGTAACTTAAAAAGTTTTACAGATTTTTTTTTTTTTTTGACTGTTTAACTGAAAACCACTCAAAATATGAGAACTGACTGACGGATCCTGCCGGAACAAGATCCAGGAACTCTCATTTTGACCGCTCGAACCGGCAACTCAAATCTCCGCCCTAAAAGTCCAAAGTCATCACACGTTTTTATTTTGATTATTAAAAATGCAACAAGAGGAGACGTTGCCCAGTCTGTGGAGTGGATGTTCCAGCTGCACCACGCTCCTGCCCAGCAGAGCCGTGGACTGCACGTCCTGCGGGGAGCGTCTTCATCCACCTTCAACTGTGTCCTGCAGACTTTATGCACAGCATCTCCAGACAGCTCTGCAGGACGCACGCATGACCCATGCCCCCCCCCCCCCCCCCCCCCCCCCCCCCCCCGGCTGGACCGCCTGCTGTTTGTGTTCTGACATCAGTTGGTTTACAAATTGCTCAACACTAAAGTTTTGTTTTTGTTCATGAATAGGACTGAGATTTATACAAGAAAGAACGTGCAAATATTTAGTCACATGCACTGATATCAAAGTTCATGCTCAGTAATCCAGGTAAAAAAAATCCAACAATGTTCAGTCTGGTCCACTACAGGAGTGTACTGCTTGGTGGGGAAACAGTTTGTTTGTGACGACTCAGACTGAAGAAGCCCTTCGGATGAAGGGCGAAACGTCTCGCCAAAAAAAGAAACCGTCCAGGTGACCTGACTGAACATTGTTGGACATATTTCTGATCTTTGCCTTACCTTCTGACCTCCTGCCTCTCGCTGGAAGAGTTCAAATAAATATTCCTGGACATCAGTTTCATGAGAAAAGGCAGGAGGGGTCAGTTTAGGACAGGTGATCTGTTTTAGTCACGCCACTGCAATGTTCAGTTACCTGCATTATTAACACAACAACATGAAGCAGATCAGCAGCAACATGAAGCAGATCAGCAGCAACATGAAACAGATCAGCAGCAACATGAAAAGGATCAGCAGCAACATGAAACAGATCAGCAGCAGCATGAAACAGATCAGCAGCAACATGAAGCAGATCAGCAGCAACATGATGTGTTTTTTTTACAGTGATTATTATGGTTAGAGATTCATGAGTCTAACAGCCTCAGGGTAGAAGCTGTTCCTCAGTCTAGTGGTTCTACACTTAATGCTCCTCAACCTCCTTCCTGAGGGGAGTGGGACAAAAAGTGTGTGTGCTGGGTGAGTGGGGTCCTTCATGATGCAGGTGGCCCTCTTCCTGCATCTGGAGGTGTAGATGTCTGTGATGGTGGGGAGGCTCATTCCAACATCTTCTGTGCAGCCTTCACCACTCTCTGCAAAGCTTTTCTTTCTGCAGCTGTGCAGCCTCCATGCCACACGTTGATGCTGGAGCACAGGATGCTCTCCACTGCACACCTGTAGAAGGAGGTGAGGACTGAGCTTCCAGACCAGCTCGCCTCAGCCATCTGAGGAAGTAGAGTCTCTGATGAGCTTTCTTCATCAGGCTGGTGGTGGTGTTGCTCCAGCTGAGGTTGTTGTTCAGGTGCACACCCAAGTTCTTGTAGCTGGAGACCACTTCCACTGCAGATCCTCTTATGTTCAGGGGGGTGTAGGTGTGTTTGCTCTGTCTGAAGTCCACGACCATCTCCATCTTCTTCACATTGATGTGAAGGTTGTTCCTGCACCAGCTCTCCAGATGTTCCACCTCCTGCCTGCAGCTGGACTCATCATTGTTTGTGAAGCATCCCACCACCGCTGTATCATCTGCAAACTTTACAATGTGACAGCCTGGATGGGTAGGTGCTCAGTCATACGTGAGCAGAGCGAACAGGAGGGGGCTCAGCACACAGCCCTGAGGGGAGCCAGTGCTGAGGGTTATGGTGGAGGAGAAGTTGTGGATCCTCACTGACTGTGGTCTGTTTGTTAAGAAGTCTTAGACCCAGTTGCAAATGGAAGGACTTCGTCCTAGGATCATGGTGTTGAAGACAGATGTGAAGTCCACAAAGAGCATACGGACGTAAGAGTTTTTCTGCTGCAGGTGGTTGAGTGCAGTGTGGACCACAGAGGGGATGGCATCCTCTGTTGATCGCTTATCATGGTATGCATACTGATGAGGATCCTCATTCTTGTTGATGGTTGTTTTGATGAGAGTCATGACCAGTTTTTTTGAAGCATTTAGCGACTTTTGGGGTAAGGGCCACTGGCTGATAGTCATTCAGACCAGCCACTCCAAAGCTCCCCAGGACCGGGACGACGGTGGCTGTCCCCAGGCAGGTGGGAACTGTTGCCAGGGTTAGTGAGGAGTTAAAGATGTCAGCCAGCACCTCGCAGAGCTGATCGGCACATTCCTTCAGCATCTTTCTGGGGATATTGTCTGGGCTGGTTGCTTAGTGAGGGTTAGTCCTCCTGAAGGTACCCCTTACTTCTGCTGAGGTCACGCTGAGAAGCTCTTCCTCCAGTGGTGAGGTGAGTCTGGTGCTGGGTGGTCTGTTCGGGTCTTCAAAACCTGCAATCTGAGAGTGAAGTGCTCTTTTAGGATAATATGGAACAATAAGATCTGTAATATAAGATGGAGCCAGATTGTTGATTGCTCTGTTTGAGAGCTTTCTTCATGTAGCTGTATGACCAAACTCTTCATTCTGAGGCTATAGCAGGTCAATTAGCACTTACCATGTGCACGTGTATGACCCTGCATGTACCTGTGCACGTATCATTTAATCTGCAGCGACCTTCCCAAAGGTCTAAGCCTTCATCCATCCATTATCTTTACCCGCTTCTTCCATTTTGGGTCGCAGGGGTCGCCGGTGCCCATATCCAGCAATCACTGTGCGAGGGGCGGGGGACACCCTGGACAGGTCTCCAGTCCATCACAGGGACAAACGAGGGCACAATTTAGAGTTACCAATCAGCCTAACATGCATGTTTTTGGTCTGTGGGAGGAAACTGGAGTACCTGGAGAAAACCCACACATGCACGGAGAGAACATGCAAACTCCACCCAGAAAGGCCCCCGGACCAGGATTTGAACCAGGGACCTGCTCGCAGAGAGGCAGCAGCTCTACCAGTTGTGCCACCGTGCTGCCTGTTCTAAGCCTCACCACCACAAAATAAAATGAATGTAATGAATAATAATAAATAAATGTAATAAATCTGATTCAGTTCTGCTCATTTCCATTTAAAAAATATGTAGTCCAGTGGATTGAGTCATCAACATTGGGATGGGTTTAAAAATTGGTACAAAATAACCAAAAGTGGACGTATGTAGATGCAGCGACAGCTACTTTTCATACCCTAACAGTCTGGGTATAGATTACAAGCAAATTGCAAAGGTACAGTTTAGCAGGGCGATAAAATGACCCGATACCAAAAAAATCTAGAAACCATCGCTATCACCACTAATTTGTTCTGATGTAGATGTGTTTCCACACAAACTTTTCACAGTTTATACAGTTAAAACTTTGACAAACCTTAGACGTGCTCATGTATTTACCCCCCCCCCCCTCTCACCACCACCATATTTAAGGCCAATCAAAGACTGAAGTTTCTTCTGCTTGTTGCAGTCGGTGCTCTTTGGACCCATCTTTGTGTACTGTTGCTCAATTTGCAGGCGTTAAAAGGGCAAAATCTTTCCTTCACTAGACGCAGTACACTGATACAGAACATCTTCAAACGTTGGGCTCATGAATGGACGGGTGTATTAACGAGTTGGTAATTAGTCAGGATTACTGGTTAGAGTAGAGCCTTCCTCTAGCTGTTTAACTTTGGATCGTTTTGTTCAGGGCAGTGATTTACCAACTCTGTTGTCCTTTGTAGGAATAAAGCTCTGGTGTAGGTGTTGTTGGACACAAACAGTGGATTAACGCAGCACCGCTACATGAATCAGGTTATGCTTTGAGGTTCCTACAACTGTTTATCCTAAAGAACAACCAGGTATGCCTTATGATATACATGGCATATGAGGATTTATGGGAGGGGGTCAATATTTGTTATTCTGAGATTAGCTTTGTAAGTCTTTCATGCTGTTCAGGAATATTGTGCTTCACTAAACTCTGGTGTGCTTTTTAAAAAGCGATGGCACTTGAGGCACAAAAGCTGTGCTCCTTAACCCCTTTGTCTCCAGCTTCAGCAAAGGCCATGTTTCAGGCAGCATCAACGTTCCTTTCAGCAGTGTATTTAACTGTGACGGTGAGCCTGTCCAGTGTCCCACATCTGGAGCCCTTCAGAACTACAGAGGACGTGTCATTGTGATCATCAGCCATGCTGTAAAGAGCGCCACCATGGTGAGGAAGCTCGCTCACACACCTACACCTGTACGAATCAAAAGAGAGTTCTTAGAATGGTGCTGGGCGTTTATCTGAGACATACCATTCTTTCACAGGCTTTGAACCACGTGGCTTTTACAGTGCTTCGGCTAACTATTTATTTATTTTTGTCAACGGGCTAACAAGCTTCCTGCCGCAAAAAGCATTTGGCTTCATTACACCCAGAGGCTCAAATAGCTGCCCAATACAGGTCTGTCTTGGGGGTGGGTCCTTGTGACTTTATCTTCCTGTTGGACACACAGACAGAGTGAACCCCACTGGTCGTCATGACAACCACCTCCCTCACTCATGGTTACGCCACAGAATGGCCTAACACAAACTAACACATGATGAACACATAAACTAAACTAACAAGAACAGAATAATGACTAAAAGAACAGTGCTAAACAGCTAGCAGAAATGATTAACAATTGACATAAATTTTACCCATAATCCCTCATTGAGGTCATGTGACCAGCAGTCAACCACAATGAACCAATGAGGTCGTCTCATTGAGTCACGAGGACCCACACTCCAAGAGAGTCGTGTACTGGGCAGCTATGTGAGCGCCCGGGTTTGACGAGACAAAATGTTTTGGCGGCAGGAAGCTCGTTAGCCCGTCAAAAAAAAAACCCATAAATTAGCCTCTGCATTGTATAAGCTGTGGGATTCAAAGCTGTGACAAGGTAAAGGCTTATAGTTTGGAAATTATGGTACTTCCAGACCAGATTTCTTCATGAACTGTATATTTGTCTGTGTTATATTTATATTTATTTATGGGCGTTGGTGTGTTGTCCAATTTGAACGAGTCGTGCTGTGATTTGGTCATGAATGAATTATGAATTGGATTGTCTCCAAAACTCAATGACTTTTACAGCCAGTGCCCTGTCTGAGAATGTACACCAGCATACTTGTAATTTTACTCACTTCTTTCAAGTGGTTCATGAGATACTGTGTTCCAGACAGTTTTAGTCCAATGGAGAAGTTTGACAGATTTTTGTAATCCGTTAGTGCACACAATATGTGCTCAGTGTACTGGGAATGAGTCCTAGCTACTAACACTAGAAACTTTCACCAAGTTGAGACACTTGTTGTGTTTGTTAAGGTTGATTAGCTGTGGCGGCCACCGTGAACGGTGTTTGATAAAAATGTCCTCTATTCATCTTAATTACTCACAGAAGCCACACTTGAGGACACGAGAAGATATTTAACTGGTTTTTACTTGTGAGGGAGACACACTCACAGGCCTACACAGATGTCAAATGGAATTCAAAAAGCGTTCAATACAAAAACAACTGGACTTTATTTGTAACAGAAGACGTTTCGCTCCTCATCCGAGGAGCTTCCTCAATTCAAAGAGCAGAGAGTGAGATTCAGGTTATAAGGCTGAGTGAGATAAGACACACACACACACATGTAGATTGGCAGTTCACACCTAAACAACATTAACAGTAAGAGTCTTTTGTTCCTCTAATTCACAGACGAGGCCCCTCTGTTCCCATCAGGTGTGAAAACTGGCTGGGAATCAGTCTTAAAGTTGCATTATAGGTTTTAGAAAGTGGAAATCTGAGGCCTCCTCCTCTGTTGAGACATTTTTTTCTCTTTTTACATAAATTGCCTCCTTCACCCCCCTCTCAAACCATCTGTGTTCTCGGTCCAAAATGTGCACATGTTGGTCCTCAAAGAGTGTCCCTTATCTGTGAGGTGGAGGTGAACAGCTGAATCTTGTCCTAAGGACTTGGCTCTCCTGTGTTGAGTCATGCGTCTGTGAAGAGGCTGTTTAGTTTCTCCAGTGTAGAGGTCGGAACAGTCCTCGCTGCACTGGACCACATACACTACACCACTCTGTCTGTGTATGGGTGTTCTGTCCTTAGGGTGGACCAGCCTCTGTCTGAGAGTCCTGCTGGGTTTGAAATGTACTGGGATCTTATGTTTGTTGAAGATCCTTCTGAACTTCTCTGATACTCCAGCAACATAAGGGATGACAATGTTTTTACGTCTGTTGTTCTCCTTTTTCTGTTTATTGGTGTGTTTTGTAGATTTCCTCTCTGACTTGACAAAAGCCCAGTTAGGATATCCACATGTTTGAAGAGCTTCTTGAATGTGTTTCAGTTCCTTTTCCTTACCTTCTGTCTTCGTGGGGACGCATTCGGCCCGATGTTGTAAAGTTCTGATGACAGAGAGTTTGTGTTCCAGTGGATGGTGGGAGTCAAACAGAAGATACTGGTCTGTGTGGGTTGGTTTCCTGTAAACTTCAATGTTGAGGCTGTCCTCTCTCTCCATCTGAACCAAACAGTCCAAAAAAGGCAGCTTGTTGTCGTTTGCATCCTCTCTGGTGAACTTGATGTTATCGACCGAGTTAATGTGTCTGGTGAACGCTTCTACTTCCTTGGCTTGGATTTTGACCCAGGTGTCATCCACATATCGGAACCAATGGCTTGGCTTAGTTCCCTCATAGGAGTGTAGGGCTCTCTGTTCCACTTCCTCCATGTAGAGATTGGCAACAATGGGTGACACTGGAGATCCCATGGCACAGCCGTGCTTCTGTCTGTAAAACTGTCATTGAACTTGAAATAAGTGGTGGAGAGGCAGAGATCCAACAGGGTGCAGATCTGGTCCGGGGTGAAGTTGGTCCTGTTGATTAAGTCCTTGTCTTGTAGAAGTTGTTTTCTGACGGTTTCTACTGCTTCAGAGATGGGTATGCATGTGAAAAGAGAAGTCACATCATACGATACAAGGGTTTCTCCTGGGGTTAGTTTCAAGTGTTGAACTTTGTTAGCAAAATCAATGGAGTTCTTTATGTGATGAGGTGTGTTTCCAACAAGAGGAGCTAAAATACCAGCCAGATGTTTAGCAATATTGTATGTCACTGAGTTCATGCTGCTGACGATGGGTCTGAGTGGTGTTCCTTCTTTATGTATTTTAGGAAGTCCATAAAGACAGGGAGTGGCTTCCCCTGGGTACAATCTATAATACAACGATTGATTGATTGTTTTCTCCTTTTCAAGTTTTTGCAGGTCATCTGTGACTTTCTTTTTGTAGGCACTGGTTGGGTCCCTCTTCAGGGTCTCGTAGGTGTTGCTGTCGCTCAGTAGTGTAGTTATTTTTTCCCGGTAATCAGAAGTGTTGAGGACTACTGTGCATCTTCCTTTATCAGCTGGTAAAATGGTGATGTTTTGGTCCTGGCTGAGTGATGTTACAGCTTTCCTTTCCTGTGGTGTGAGGTTTGAAGGAGGTGGTTTGGCACTGGAGATGGTTACTGATATTTCCATTCTGAGCTGTTCTGCCTCTCCTTCCGTCAAGTTGTTGTTCCTAATCGTGGATTCAGTGGCCGTGATTAGTTCCACAACAGGTATTTCTTGAGGGGAGATGGCAAAGTTTAGTCCTTTTGCCAGCACATCTTTCTCAGGTTGTGTCAATGTCCTGTTGGACAAATTTCTAACCCACTGGTCCTGAAAATTAGTGTTGGCAACAAACTCCTGATCTTGACTGATGGTTTGTGATGAGAAAACCGCTCTCTGTTGTAATTTTAGAAACTTACTTTTTTGACGTTCCTTGCTCTTTTAATGCTGTGAAAGCTGGGCCTTTTCAACGAAACAAGAAACCTTCCAACAGAGGAAGTGGTAGCAGAGTAGACAGCTTCTGGAGGGTCTGATCCATTTTGAGTGAGAGAGCTTCAATGGTGAAGTGTATCTGTCTTATTCTCTCACTGAGCAGCTTGTTTTGAGCTTTCAGGAGTATTCCTTCTGCTCTATGTCCTTTGATCGTGGAGTTGAGTTTCAAACTGCTGGGGATGAAACTAGTCCCTTACTTATTGTGAGGGACTAGTCTAGACCTATTGATTGCTTTGATGACATATTTTGCTAAACACACAAAGACATGGGCAGAAATATTATTCCATTATTGCCTTCAGCTTCAGGCAGTAAACATGTTATTGTTGATTTTTTTTCTCTTCCCAGTTCGCTGCACACCTGGTCAAGGTCAATTATTCACGTGTTTGCATTCTGGATGGAGGGATCAGCAAACTGAAGCCCACTGGACTCCTCACAGTCCCCTCCCCTCAGATCTGACTCCTCACAGTCCCCTCCCCTCTGATCTGACTCCTCACAGTCCCCTCCCCTCTGATCTGACTCCTCACAGTCCCCTCCCCTCAGATCTGACTCCTCACAGTCCCCTCCCCTCTGATCTGACTCCTCACAGTCCCCTCCCCTCAGATCTGACTCCTCACAGTCCCCTCCCCTCTGATCTGACTCCTCACCCCCCACCCCAGATCTGAGCTGGTTTCTCAGCTTACTTCAACACAGACGAGCTTGTTATGTATCAAACAGATTTCCTTCAGTCAACAGAATTCACCAGAATAATAAAAATGTTTCTGAAAGAATCTAAATTTCATTTCATTTTCTTATACAGTGATTGTTTCAGTGTTTTGTTTGTTGTTTACAATACCTATGTTTTTATTGCCATGTTTTATTTTGAATGAATTGATAATATGTTTGTGTGGAAATCATTAAAGATGAAACTATGACTGTTTTATGTATGTTTGTATTTATTTATTTATTTGTTTTTATGTTTTTTTGTCAAATTGAATTGGACTTTCTTCAAACCATCTTGTCAGAGCTGTGCATCTGATAAAGCCAATGCATCATCACAGATTTTATGACTTTAACGAGTATTAACAATAGAATGTGACTGTGTAAGCCAGGGACACTTCAGGTTTTTATTTGTCAAACAACTTTATTTATAGAGCACTTAAAACAGCACCAAGGCCAAGCTGTATGCAAATCAACACAAGGTCAACAAAGAAATGCTGAGGATGAGAAGAACCGTCTCGACTCGCCAAAAAAATACCAAAGCATGCAGCAAAAATACAAAAACAAGGTGCCAAAAGTGAAAAGAAATATGTCTACAGCAGCATGGTCCGGTTAACGGAGTGTTCATGTTAGCAGCTTGATGATAACGACCGCAGCAGCTGCCCTCCAGAACCGGGTCCGGCAGACTGAGAACATCGAAGGTTTCCCTGCAGAGCCAAACGGGCCCATAGAGTTTGGTCCGTGCAGACCGATGGAGGATCATGATCCCAAGGCTGGAAGGACTGAACCAGGATGACAAGGCACCGACACACAAACTTCCAAAAGTTTGTTGCGGTCATACCGTAGTGTGGTGGTGTGCAGTGTAGGTGCAAAACAAAGTTAAAAGTAGATCGAGTCGAATCGGAGCTCCCGTCAGTCGGCCATGCTGTCTTCATACGTCTACATGTCTCTGCGTGAGTGCAGCTACAGCGTGCGCTCTCAGGACATCATTACCTGCAGTGTTCCCTCAGTGAGGACTGAACTAGACAAAAGGACCTTCTCCTACTCCGCTCCTGTTTCCTGGAATATCTTGTAAAAAGACCTGAAGCTCTCGACCTTTGACCTCTCTAAGTGGCTTCAAACATCTGTTCAGTTCCTGGAAATAAACCAACGCAGACGTGTTCCTGTTTTTAGTTTTCTACATCACCTTACAATCTAGCTGTTTTTTTAAAAACATTTTCTTTCACTTTTTCTTCTCAGTTTATATGTTTTCTTTTATGATTGTCCATTGTTGTCATCACTCTTTGTTTAAATCAGGTCTCTCTTGTAAATGAGTCCCCGCGGCTCAATGGGACTAACCTGTAGAAATAAAGGTTGAATGAAAAAGTAATAAGAATATGCTGAGCATACAAATTGTCACATACATGTACACAAACCCCCTCCTGCAGCCTGAGAAGTCTGCGGGGCGCACGGATCAGCTCGACTGTGAATGTGACTTTCTTACTGCTCCACATTCAGACATAACGCTGCGTTCAAGGCTGCAGAAAAGCTGGGACATATCAATTTTACACTGGAGGCAATAATTGTTTTTGTTAGCTATATTTTCTATATTAAGAATTCATGTGTAAACAATCAAGAACACACACACTCCAATCACTGCACCAGTGTGAAGACGACACACACGTTAGATCCTCTGACGCTCGCTCACAGAGCAACAGTCCTTCACTGCTGTCAGGAATATTAACCAAATACGTAAAATGTATTTTCCTTGAAAAACTCAAATTAGTGGAAAGTGTACGGAAGTTGATAAGTCATTGTTACCTGTTGCTCTTTTAAAATGATCTGAAAAAATGTACAACATTCTTCCTCAGAAGCAGTGTCTTAATGACTGATCATTCAAAATCTATCAGGAAGATCAAATTTCACCTCACTGAACAACATATTACAGCCTAAATCGAACTTGAATATTAAAAGTATCTGGATTCATGAGATTTATGAACACCAGTTGTTTGATAATATTATGAACTTATTTAATTAATTAGTTAGGTCAGGGTTCTGCAAGCTTCATGATCAAAAGAGCCGTTTCTGCCCTTTCATTCACTAAATAAACGTGTCCAGAGACACAAAACCTGCTATCCATCCATCCATCCATCCATCCATTTTCTTTACCCGTTTATTCCATTTTGGGTCACGGGGGTCGCTGGTGCCCATGTCCAGCAATCACTGTGCGAGGGGCGGGGTACACCCTGGACGGGTCGCAAGTCCATCACAGGGCCACATAGAGACAAACGAGACAAACAACCATTCACTCTCTCACTTACACCTAGGGGCAATTTAGAGTTACCAATCAGCCTAACATGCATGTTTTTGGACTGTGGGAGGAAACCGGAGTACCCGGAGAAAACCCACGCATGCACGGAGAGAACATGCAAACTCCACCCAGAAGGCTCCTGGACCGGGGTTTGAACCAGGGACCTGCTCGCTGAGAGGCAGCAGCTCTACCAGTTGCGCCACCGTGCTACAAAACCTGCTACAATTGTCATTATCAACTGGTGGCCCATGGGCCACTTTAAGTTCGTTAGAAGGGACTTTTCTGGCCAGTAGGCGTGAAATTATAAAACTAAAGACATCCGCTTTTTCCCTTATTGGTAACGGGGGTCACTGGTACCCATGTCCAGCAGTCACTGTGCGAAAAGCGGCGGGGCAGGGGATACCCTGGCCAGGCCGCAAGTCCATCACAGAAGACTGGATTATTGTAAAGAAAAAAAAAATATATATATAACGGGTACAAGAAATACTTAGATTATTGTAATGAAATTTCAGCTAAAAACTGTATTATAGTTGTCCTGTAATGAGTGGGCTTTGGCACTCTAAATATGACGGGAAACTCTTCCTGACGCTCTGCTGTAGTGAGCCGCACAGTCCGCTTCTCTTCTAAAAGGGAAAAAGAGCTCATGAGACAGTATGTCCGATCTTATTTTTCTTATAGATATTTGTGCCAGTAGAGGAGCTGACCACACTATGTTTATGCTCTGAACCACTCATTTACAGGTAATTAACTGTGTTGTACTAAATGTTCTGAGTTTCGCTCCTTGAAACGCCTTCTGTTACAAATAAAGTCCAGTTGTTTTTGTATCGAACGCTTTTTGAATTAAGTCAGTTACGTTTGCACAATGTCTGTTGGTTGTCATGACGACAGCGTGTCCGTTATATTTTATGTGAACCACCAGAGGGTGTGGTAGAGCAATTTAATAATTCATTTTAACTGCTATCTGCATTTATTTACTCTTTATTTATCCAGGTAATCTCATTGAGCCATGAGAACTCATTATCAAGAGAGACCTGTTTAGGAGCAGATGGGGGTTAGGGGCCTTGCTCATGGGCCCAGAGTGGGACGGATGAGGGTGGGGACAGGTGTGGGTGCTTCACCTACCCCACCCACATTTTTTTTGTTGATGTTGTTGGTACTGGGGCTTGGACCGGTGATCTTCCAATCACAGACCCACCGTCTCTAACCTCTGCGCCACCACTCCCCATTTATTTTTCTAATTTCTTTTTTCATTGAAAAAATGGATGCCAGGTTAAAACAGATTATATTAGATTTATTGTAAAACATTAATGATAAAACCACTATACAATCACATGTTAAAAAGAATATTGTTAAAAGTCATTGTAACAGATATTTGCAACTCATCACGGTCTTCCTAGCACTCTGCTGTGATATTTGTGCCAGTAGAGGAGCGGACCACACTATGTTTATGCTCTGAACCACTCATTTACAGTAAAGTGCTAGCTCGTCCAACCCATTGGCCTCTGAGAGTTTTTATGACAGGACGAGCTACACAACTGTTGCATTGATGCCGTGACCTTGGACTTCAAGCTTGCTGCCGTTGCATTTATATTTGCCAATTAAAACAAATTAAAACAATGAACTGTGCAGGCATATATGTTTGTTTTTTTTCATTGTGGAGAAATCGAGTATCCTACTTGGAAGAAATAAAACATAACGTTAAAGTGAGTAACATCAGTCAGGTCATCTGGACACTCCCTTTTTTGTTGCTGAAACATTTCATCCTTCATCCAAAGGACTTCTTTAATCTGAGGAGCCACCAAACAAACTGAGTCCCACAAGCAGCACACTCAAAACCAGTTTGATGGTGACAAGATGGCCTCCGAGGCCCGCCCTCTCCCCTGTCAACTCCTCTAAAGCATTCATGCCAAAGTGGTTCAAAACATCAAAGTTCATGCTCAATAATCCAGGTACATATTCAGCAATGTTCAGTGATGGGTTTTGAACCACTTTGGCATGGCTGTCACAGACGAGTTGGTGGGTGGGGGGGTGGGGGGGGGGGGCTGGAGGCCATCTTATCACCAGCAAAAAAAAAAAAATCCGCTATGGGAGTGAGCTGCTGGTGGGACTCAGTTTGTTTGGTGGCTCCTCAAACTGAAGAAGTCCTTTGGATGAAGGACGAAACGTCTCAGCAAAAAAAGAAATAAACCGTCCAGATGGCCTGACTGAGCATTGCTGGATTTATATCTGGATTATTGAGCATGAACTTTGGTGTTGAAGCGAGTATAATTTACTCTGTGTATTATTACTAGTATCCACATATTTGCAAAGGAAGTACCAGAAAAACTGCTAAAACTAGTCATTTGTTGTTGTTGGTATAACTTCCTATACAATTCAGTTTTATGTTAGTTTTGCTCAAAGCTTGAAAGAGCTGCTGCGGAGGAACCAAAGAGCCACATGTGGCTCCAGAGCCGCCGGTTGCAGACCCCTGAGTTAGTTGGTTAATTAGTTTAGTTAATTGGTTTGTTGCTTTGCTAGTCAGTTTCGTCCTATGTCTCCTCCAGTCCAGCAGGAGGCAGTAAAAGCAGCTGTATCAACCGGAAACTCGTTAAACTACGTCATTTCCTGTGTTTTGTAGCTTCTTGCTAGTAGCTCGTCAAAGTATTTCAGTAACTTCGGGCTCTTTGAAGGTAATTATTAAACTGATGTTCGGATGTTTTTGTAACATTAATAAACTGTAGTTTAATCTGTAATTTAATGAGCACAGATGCGTTTAGCCCTTTGATCCGAAGCGACCTTTGTTCCAACGTCCTTGACAGGAGCGACGTAGTTTCAGCGTATTTACCGTTAAATTAGTTAAATTATGATTTATCACCGTCCCTGCTGAACACAATTAGATTTTCGCTGACTGCTTAGGTTGGACTGTGTTCAAACTGTAGATGAGTCTGAACCGTCGTGTCGCAGCACGTCTGGCAGAAGAATGAGAATCGATCCAGGTATAAAGTCGATGCCAACTGGTCCAGCTTAAATCTTGGAACTCCGCAAATCTTGAGCTACAGAGTAGAAGTTCACTTGTTTTATCTCTTTTCTTTGTCCTGTTCTGGACAAATGAGAATGTACAGCAACATATGACACCAACCTTAGTGTCAACACTGTTCCGATATTAAACCGATAGTATCGATATTTGAGCGCATTCTCTGGTGACGTCACTCCCATCATAACAAATACACTTCTGTGCCAGAGGAGTTAAATGTCAACACTTGAGAAAACTGTCATGTCATAATAATTCAATCAGGCCTGATGTCACAAACGCTTCAGAATTGATATGCTAACAGGTGTAGCATCCATGTTTAATTCAGTTTATCTCTAAAGCTCCAAGTCACAACAGAATCGTCTCAGGGACTGAACAGAAACATTCATCTATAAAATAATAATTAACAGAAACATTCATGTATAAAATAATAATTGAACAGAAACATTCAT